GAAGGTAAAGATTTGCACGAATGTTGAGGGTTGTTGGGCGATGGTTTGACATTATTATTTGAATTACTTCCGTTTCGAATTGTTATGCAGGGCAGTTCTTAAAAAATTGGGGGCCAAAAACACAATTATATTTTTTTTTGTATTTTGTGAAAATTTAATGGGCTCTTGGCATGAACAAATCAGAATAACGAATATATTTTAAGTTCGCCTTAACAGTAAAGGTCAAGACTAGCAGTGAACCCATAAATATATATTATTCTCGAATTTTCTATATTATTATATGCAAACGTGAGAATACCAAAAAGGGTTGGCCGATTTTTATATCCTTTACCAGAGTATGGAGGGTATATTAAGTTTGTCATTCCGTTTGTAACACCTCGAAACATAAATTTTAGACCCCACAAAGTATATATATTCTTGATCAGCATAAATTTCGATTAAGCGATGCCCATCCGTCTATCCGTCTGTGGAAATCACTCTAGCTTCCGAACGAAATGAAGTAGATTGATAAAATGTTACCCAAAAGTATATTATATCTGAATAACTATTGAAAATGGGCCATGGGTTTTGGTATAACCCCATATAACGGTACCTCCCGATATTCGGTATTTTAATGATTTTAGCGACATTATTCACCAGAATTGTTTCAAATTTGGTATTTGATGTTCGTAATGGATGCTTCAGCCTGTAGCAGGAGATTGTCTGTGCAGGTCCACGTTTTCGTATAGCCCACATATAATGGTACTTCCCGATATTCGGTAATTTGTTGATTTTAGCGACATTATTCACCCGAATTGTTTCAAATTTGGTATTTGATGTTCGTAATGGATGCTAGAGCCTATGACAGGAGATTGTCTGTGCAGGTCCACGTTTTCGTATAGCCCACATATAACGGTACCTTCCCATATTCTGTATTTTGATAATTTTAGCTACATTATTCACCGATTTGTTTAAGTTTCGCATTTGAATACTGTTATGGCCTATGACAAAAGTTACCTATGCAGGTCCATGTCGTAGTAGAGACCCAGTATATTCGGTATTTTTATACCCACCTTGGAATGGAGGGTATATTAACTTTGTCATTCCGTTTGTAACATCCTTAAATATTCGTCTTAGATCCCATAAAGTATATATATTCATAATCAGCATAAAATTCTAAGTCGATTTCTCTCAGTCTATTGAAATCACGATACAGCCCACATCATTTGACGTAGAGCGCCAAAATTTAGCAGAGCTATTTGCATTGTGTATAGGATGGTTGGTATTGAAAATGAGCTATATCGGTCCACGTTGTGGTATAGCCCCCATATAAAGGTACCTCCCGATATTCGGTAATTTGATGATTTTTGCAACATTTTTTCACGGATTTGTCTGAAAATTGGTATTTGTGGGTCATAATGGGTTCCAGCTCTGGTGGCGAAACATTGTATGTATGGGTTCATGATTTGGTATAGCCCCCATATAACGGTACCTCCCGATATTCGGTATTTTGATGGTTTTTGCCACATTTTTTCACTGATTTGTCTAAAAATTGGTATTTGTGGGTCATAATGGGTCCTAGTTCGTGTGGCGAAATATTGTAATTATAAGTCCACGTTTTGGTGTAGCCCCTATATAACGGTACCTCCCCATAATCAGCATTTTAGCGGTTTTTGCCACATTTCTTCTAATGTTTCTTTTACCCTAAGGTGGAGGGTATTAAAAGTTTGGGCAGGCCGAACTTAATGTTTTTTTACTTGTTAAGATTTGAACAGAATTTTTGAGAATTGCCAAATTCGTTCCAAATGGTGGAGGGTATTCAAAGTTCGGCCCGGCTGAACTTACAGCTTTTTACTTGTTATCATTCATTAGTAAACGTTTTGAGATAGTGAAATTTGAAGAATATTGGGGGTTATTTTGCATTTTGTAATCGTTTTGATTTTTACCCTTTGTGGCGGAGGTACCAGAGGGAGTGGACCGATATTTCCAATTTTCACGCCATATCTTGTTTTCGAAATTTGATCGGAAGCTTATTTCGCATTTTATGGGGGACATAATTATTCCAAACTTTGAACCGCTATGCTGGAAGTACCAGGAGTGGCTGCGTATGAACCATATTCACAAAAGATCGTGTTTTGATAGAAATATTGAGATGTGCCGAGTTTGAAAGGAATTGGATGCACCTTTTGCGTTTTATGAACTTCGTGACTTAAAGGAGTTCATCGATATATTCCATCTTCGCACCAGACCTTGTGTTGGCAGAAATATTGAGATGTGTGAAATTTGAAGATAATCGCACTCTTATTTCATATTATAAACGAGTTATAATTATTCCCAATCTTGACCAGCTTTGGGGAGGTACTTGATGGAGTAAGACGATATTGTTTATTTTCGCACCTGACAAAAATCTTGGGATTTGTAAGGTTTGAACAAAATCGAATGATCCTTTCTAATTTTTTCTCTTGAAAAATTGTACCTTTTGTGGAGGATATACCAGAAAGGGTGTACCGATCTTGCCCATCTTCGAACTCGAGCTAAGTTTCACAATAATATAACGATATACCAAATTGGACGGACAGCCTTAAATCGACCTCAAATGTCCTGAAACGGAAAACGTGGACCTACAATATTTACATCCATATAGTTTGGGACCTTATTTCCTGAAATATATCAAGTTGTAAACAATTCCTTAAAAAAATTGAAGACACCATTCAAAATACCGAATATCGGGAACAACCTTTGGATGTGTGACGCTAACTTTCGAGCTTTTGATATTGGTTGTCGACGGGTTGGAAATAATAGTAGAAACCTCAAAAATTTGGAAAATCAAACATTTTTCACATGGGCAGAACAGAAGAAAACGCCAAATGTAAAGTTTCAGCTAGTTTGATTGGAAATTGTGGCAGAAACCTTCAAAATACCGAAAATCGGGAGGTACTGTTATATGGGGCTATACCAATTGGTGGACCTGAATCGAACATATTTCACAAGGAGAGAACAGATCTACCGAGAACTTTAATTGTCAGGTTTCAGCTGATTTGGTTGGAAATTGTAGCAGATACCTTGAAAATATCGAAAGTAGGGAGGTACTGTTATATGGGTATGGCTGTATCAAAAAGTGGACATGAATCGGCTGTTCTTGTAAGGAGCGAATATGCCAACCGAGAACCCCAATTGTCAAGTTTAAGCTAGTTAGAAATTGTGGCAGACACCTTCAAAATACCAAGAACAGCAAATGTAAATTTTCAGCTGATTTGGTTGGAAACTGTGGCAGAAATCTTCAAAGCATTGTTAATAGGGGGGGGGGGCTATGAACCAATACAGGGTGAGATAAAAAATACTCCAAACTCCATAATTTTTACTTTTTTTTAATTTTATTGAATGAAAGCAAAAAATTTCGGAAATAGCATCAAATTATAGAACAAGTTTAGTTTTGTTCGAATTTGTCACCTGTGGCACGAATTATGGCCTTCAAACGGCCAAAAAAACTGTGGTATTTTGGCCCATTCCCGGCAAAGCGCTTGCCTGAGGTTATCGACACTTTGCTATTTTTTAGTGCCAACCTTGCTTTCCAAAATACTCCAGACACAATAGTCCAACGGAATGCTATCCGGAGATTTTGGTGGCCATTGTGCACTGGAAATGCAGAGAGGCGCCTCAGTTTATAACCATTCTTGGGTGGCGCGTGCTAAGTGCGATGGTGCTGATATCTGTTGGAATGGTATACCTAGAATATTTTCGCGATAATATTCAGCATTTTTTCTGATGCCACAGTCGATTAACTCGAGCGAGGGCCGACCATCGGCTGTTATGGCGGCCTACACCATCATCATGGCCGGCGCTTGAGTTCTGGTGGCCAATCCAAGGTGCACCTTTTCAGCTGACCTCTTTGGCAAGTAAACACGATCATGTTGTTTGTTTACAAATTGCTGGGCAAGGAATGTTTTCTCATTGGGGAAAACCAAATTCGGCATTTCAGCACTTTCGGCCAATCGAAGAGCTCATTTTTAAATATTTGCCGAATGGAATATTGAGATATGTTCAGCTCACGAGCCAGTTTTGGGCCACTGCGAAGCGGGTTTCGATCAAGTCGCTTCTTTACTTTTTGAACCATTTCTTCTGATGTTGCTGTTTTCTTCCGTCCACTTCCTTGACGTCGGGGTACGGTACCAGTATCACGGAAACGAGCGATGGTACGAGACACAAAAGATTTATTCACATTTAAATACTGGAGTTCTCTAACGATAGCCACTTGTGGTTTTACAGCCCATATAAGGATATCACGCTTGAATTCCATCACGAAAATTCTCACCAAAATGCTTTTGTACGCTTGTAAAGAATATAATGAGCTGCCACTGGAATAATTTTAACAGCTGTCGAACGAATGACTTGGAAGTGATAGCATTCTGAAATTGGTTGCAGTTCTTTCATCTCACCCTGTATAGGCAATGTTCAATATCCACCTCTCAAATGAAACCCTTATGTTGGGGCTAAGTACGAAATTTGAAACAAATCTGGTAAATAGTTCAGGTAAAATCACCAAAATACCGAATATAGGGAGTTTTCATTATACAGGGGCTATCCGAAGACGTGGATCTCCATACGTAATTTTTTGTTAGGCTGTTTGACTTAACAAAAATTAAAATTAGTTAAAGTTCGAAATGGGATACTATACATTACGAACTTTAACTAATTTTAATTTTTGTTAAGTCTAACATCCATCATTCACAATCCACCCTAACATATGAAGAGCATATTAATTTTAGACACTCACCAAAATGCAAATACACTTGACTCCAAACAGCAAAACAGTAGCAAAAGGCAAATCAAACATTGATAGACGGTTTTGGCCACAATGCCTGCTCTCCATTGCCTGCTCTCGGCGATAAGCTAACTATAACGACGACCACGATGATGATGATGACGTTATTTGATTATTAATTTGGATGGGGTGAAAGGGGGGCAATACACAATCACAATAACAACAATTCACGCTAGAAAGCAGACGGCTGGGGAGCGTTGTATGAGCAATAGTAAATAACAAGAAGAAAGAAAACAATTAGATTGCCGACGTGCTGGAAAGAATGAATTAAACAACAAAAAGCAAACGCCAAAGCAAGCTGCTAGCTAGCTGTTGAATCAAACAAATCGGATGAGTGTTACAAGGTGCACGCTTGACTGAAGGCCGGTTAAGCTATTTTTATTGTGTCGGTTGCCCAAAAACAACCGAATGCTACGTCATTATATTTTTTTGTTTAAAACAAAAACAGCAACAATAGAGATGATGCCAGAGCGTTCACGCTCATAGCAATCAACGGAAAAGCCTGTATATCAGTAATGAAAAACAAAACAAAAAAAAACGACACACCAAAGCCGTATATGTGTAGGCACCTCGAAATTGGCTTTATCATAGACGTCTATGAAGAGGAGCACACACACACACCAACCAACCAACACAATAATGTGCTCTCCACAAGGCGTCAACAGCAAGCTCTTGAGAGCTCTTGCAAAGCAAACAACTTGGGAGCACCAAATCTACCTTCTATTCTATGGAGCATTGAAACACTGTGCCTTTGATTCAGTTTTAAACGTAACGCTCGTGTGGACGCACTTCAACGTTAACTGGAGTGATATTCTTGTGCGTATTACAAAAACAAAAAAAAAAAAACAACAACAAAACGCCAAAATTTCGCGCTTCTAAATGAAAAGCATATTTTTTTGCGGTTCGTGTTTTTTGGAACAAAAACAAATGTAAAAGAAATATACTTTTGATAAGGCAAATGTGAGAAAAAGAAAATAATTAAAGTGAAATATTAAATAAATAAATAAATAAATAATAAACGGCGGCATATGCCTAATTGAAACAAATTGGAACATAAAACAAATAAAATCGATGAATAATATTTTTTAATGCAATGATGTCATAGAAATAAATGCGGGTCTAAAGTCTGTTGGATTTTGAAATGATCCATACTGAAGCACACCATGAGATCGGGTTATAATATTAACAAATTACGATTTTGAGCACATATTTGAGGCCAAGTTTAGATGTTGAAATATTGTGTAGAAATGTGGTGGTGGGTACAAAAAGTTGGTTATTCCATTTGTAACTTCTTGAGATAGCGTATTTGCTGTAATTTAGTATTCCCACACCGGTATTAGTTAGTTTTCACAAACATAAGCTGTGTTCCAGAACCTGCAAATTAGTGCTAATTAGCACTAATTCTGCTACAACGCGTTCCCGTACTCCAAAAACTAGCAAAACTTGCCGCTCTCTCGAGAAAAAAATGGCGCTGAGTGGTGCACATTTCTGCTTGTTTTAGCTACATGAATTTGGCCGAGCAGAAATGTGCATATTGTAACTTTGATATTTAATTGGCAGGGCTAACAAGGTTGAAAAATGTATTGATACGTTTCAATAAAGAAAATGATCAACTTGAAAACTAAAGGAAAAACTAATATTTGTCGTGCAAAAAACAAAAAGAGAAAATATGGAGCAACTGATGTATTCACTTTTGGATGATTCCAGCAGTGAAGAGGACTGGCTGAATGAGGAATCAGATTATTAATTATTATTATAAATTATTAATTTTAACTTATCGTCTTCAATACTCATTTTTTAAATGTTGGCTCTCTTTTCAGTAAGGTTTCACCAGTCCGATTTAGGCTGTTTACTTTTTGAATTTTGACATTTTATCGCATTTCTGCTAATTTTCCCTTCCCTTATTTTTTGAGCAAACCTAAATGAGAATGACATTTCGAACTGTTCTCTCTTCTGCTAGTTTTACTACTAAAAAGTACTGGAACACAACTATAGTTTGTCATTTCATTTGGAACTCATCGAAATACAGGGTTGCCCATATTCGACGGCCCATTCCAATCGACGAGGCTTGTCCGCAGGCAACATTCTTTGCGTCAATTGAATTTTGTACTGGAACAAATGCAAATCAATGCGAATAATCCGTTATAAAGTGGACCGAGCCATGCCCAACTGCTGAGAACGGCGTTTTTTTGGGGGGGGGGGACCTCTCAACACTGGCTTGTACGGCAGCGATATTCTCGGGCGATCGCCTTGGTCGACTTTTATATGGCCTCTTCGGATTAGAACGAGCCTTACCAGTCGAAAATTGTTCGTATAAACGCTTAATGGTGTTCTTAGAAGGCGCACTTCTCACATTTTTTAAAAGCACGTTGAGTTTTCACATTTGACTTCTTCTGTTGAATGTAAATTTCAAATATTTCGCGTGGCGTGTATTGGTTCATGGTAAAAATCTGCTTGGACTGACGCTTCAAACGCGGTTTGTCATTAAGCGATGTGACATCTCTGTCAAAAGTTATGGCGTTGCCAGATGGGTCCGTCGACTATGGGCAACCCTGTATTATATGGCGTTGCCAGATGGGTCCGTCGACTATGGGCAACCCTGTATTATATCAAAGTCAAGTCCGACTGTCTGTTGTAATCACGCTAGAGTACAAACGGCATTGCTAAAATGTTGCATATAGTTGTCTTTTAGCTGCAATCCGGTCAAGCTCGAAGATGAGTTATATCATGTATGATGAGTTATATCATGTTTTCATGTAGCCCTCATGTAATTGTATGTCCCCGTATTCGGTATTTTGACGATGTTCGCCACCCTTTCTAACAGAATAGTTTAAAATTGTGTATTTAGAGTTTGTATTGAGATCCACCAACTGCGGCAGAACTTTGTCTATATAGATCCACTTTTTAGTATAGACCCCATTAAACGGCATCTCCCCATATTTAGTATTTTGATGGATTTTCTAGCGGAATAGCTTAAAACTCTGCAGGGTAAGATAAAAAAACTGCAACAAAGTCAAACGCCATAATTTTTACATTTTTTGTCAACTTTTTTGAATGAATGCAAAATATGTCGGAAATAGCATCACATTTTTCAATAAATTTAGATTTGTTCGAATTGGTCACCTTTGGCACAAATAATGGCCTGCAAACGGCCAATGAAAACGTCACACGCTGCCCGAATGTTGCTCTGCGTTATTTTGGCCGATTCCCGGCGAAGCGCTTGCTTGAGTTGATCGACACTTTGGTATTTTTAGTACCAACCTTGCTTTCCAAAAGTACTCCAGATACAATAGTCCAACGGCTTGGTCTCCGGAGATTTTGGTGGCCATTGTACGCTGGAAATGAAGCGAGGAACCTCATTTTATAACCATTCTTGGCTGGCACGTGCTGAGTGCGATGGTGCTGATTCCTGTTCGAATGTCCAAGGTCTGCGGCCAAAATGTTTGCATGCCCAAGGCTTTAATACACCCTCCAGTATATTTTCGCGATAATATTTGGCATTTATTCTAATACCAAGGTCGATTAATACGAGCGGATTGCGGCCCACACCACCACAATGGTCGGCGCTTTAGTTCTGGTGGCCAACCGAAGGTGCACATTTTCAGTTGACCTCTTTGACAAGTAAACACGATTTTGCTTCTTTACAAACTGCAGGACAACGAATGTTTTCTCATTGAAGCGGAGAAAACCAAATTCGGCAGTTCACCACTTTCGGCAAAGCAGCTCCTTTGAGTCTATTTTCTTTCCGCTGCGGTGTAATTTCAACGGCTCAGTTTTCAATATTTGCCGAATGGAATATTGCGATATGTTCAGCTCACGAGTCATCTAACTCCATCTATACTCCCGATATTCGGTATTTGGATGGTTGTACCAATTGTTGTTTGAAATTTTAAATTGGATGTTCCTAATAACAGGAGATGCTACAGACGTTACAGACATATTTTTACATGAGTTACTTTCGAATCTGTGGAGGTAATAAAAGTTCGTCCCGGCCGAACTTAACTGATTTTTTACTTGTTATTTCAATTTTTTGAGTTTTACTTTGTTAAAGCGAAGACGGAACATCGTAATATCTTTACCAAATATAATTTTTAACAAGTTACTCTTTCTTGTACCTCATCAAATAAGACTGAAAATTTATCATCAAATAAGGCTAAAATGCAAATATAAGACCACACCTTTTCATACCTCTTCCTATTTTAAGCAATAGTAAATCTCGTTAAGTTCGACTTCTTTAAAATTTCCCCATTCTGAATAAAGGGTGATATCTTAATAGCTATAGAAAAGTTAAAAATGCTGGTAGCACACACTGTTCACAGGCATCTTTGAACCAATACGGTCTAATGATTCCACCAGGCCATATATCGCAACAAACCGTGACTTTTTCTGGATACATAGACAACATTAGATTTTTTTGGATCTTCACTCCAAGAAGGACAGTTCTGATCATTACGATCCAAATATTTGCTTTGTCGCTGAACACAAAAAGCGCTCGAATATATCGGCCCAGTTTTTCTGGTATCAGACTTAGGTCACTAGCAAACATGGAAATTATTGGCCCATTTCACCTTGTACCTCGCCTCCATGCTATACGATTTCACGTTTTCATGTAGGCCCCACATTACAGAGCATCGCGAAACTCAGCATTTTAATTATTCTAGCCATATTTTCAATAGAATTTCTTGAAATTAGGCATTTTTTTCTCAATAATTTCCATTCAGGGATTTTAATCTTATAGTCTTTTTTACTTTTTTTGTCAAATTTAAAAAAAAATATAGTTGTTTATTGAGAATAAAGACGTTTCATATTGTCGCCACCATCTGCAGCCCATTTTATTTACATAAAGATACAATTAACCATTTTAATGCTTCAAACATTTGCTTCAAGAACTTCCGCATATTTGACATAATGTCTCTTGTTGAAATATGATCCAAAAAAAGTAATAATACATATTTTATAAGGTTTCATTCCCACACTCACAAAGATCAACATGCTGTGTGTGTCAACTCAAGCGTACCATTTCAAACTGTTAGCTGGCAGTGTTCGCTAACCTTGATCTTACAAAGGCTTATCTTCAATGCAAGTGACATATTACGATATTATGGGTGCGATAACGTAGTAGGCGATTCAGCAAGTTCAAAGTTTGTTTTTTGATAATAATATTTTGGTGCCAAAGATTTCTATCAATAATTATAGTATGAAAATCGGGTAAAATCGAAACTATGATACCCTATAATAAATACCGTCTAAATGAAACTCCTTCTATGGGAGGATTCTTTGTGTAGTTTAAAAAAATTCCTATGAATAATGGCTAATATTGTCAAAATACCGAATATCGGGAGGTACAGTTATAAGTGGGTATACGAAGACTTCGACCTGCACATGTAATCTTTTGTCATAGGTTGCATTACCCATTAGGATTTTCAAATAAGCAATTATGGTAAATATTTTCGCAAAAATCATTAAAATACCGAATATCGGGAGGTACAGTTATATGGGAGCTATAAGAAGGCGTGGACTTGTATTTTCTGTCATAGGATGCAGTACCCATTGGGAACTACAAATACGAAATTTGATACAAAGTGTGGATTGAACCATCAAAATACCGAATATAAGGTGGTACCCTTGTATGAGACCTATACGATGACATAGATCTGTATGGACAATTTGTGACAGGCTGTAGTACCCATTAGGAACTTCAAATTTGAATAATTCTTGAAAATAATGTCGCTAAAATCAACAAGTAAAAAAGCTGTAAGTTCGGCCGGTCCGAACTTTGAATACCCTCCACCATTTGGAACGAATTTGGTAATTCTCAAAAGCAATAAAATCCGTTAAAAAATTTGTTAAAATCTTAATAATACTGAATGTAGCTGCAATATTAGGGTTTATACGACGGCATGGACCTGCATAGGTAACATTTGTCATAAGCCATTACAATATTCATATGCGAAACTTAAAAAAAATCGAAACTTAAAAAATAGCGAATATCGGGAGGTACCGTTATACGTGGACCTGCACAGATAATCTTCTGTCATAGGCTGTAGCATCCATTACGAACATCAAATACCAAATTTGAAACAATTCCGGTGAATAATGTCGCTACAATCATCAAAATACCGAATATCGGGGGTACCGTTATATGGGGGCTATACCAAAACGTGGACCTGCACAGATAATCTCCTGTCATAGGCTGTAGCATCCATTACGAACATCAAATACCAAATTTGAAACAATTCCGGTGAATAATATCGCTAAAATAATTAAAACGCCGAATATCGGGAGGTACTGTTATATGGGGGCTATGCGAAAACGTGGACCTGCATAGATAATCTCCTGTCATAGGCTGTAGCATCCATTACGAACATCAAACACCAAATTTGAAACATACTATGGTGGAGGGTTTAACAAAATACAGGATTTAAGGACATAATATTATATATGGGTTCTGCAGACCAAACACACATCTGAGTAAAATTTTATCAACCTACTTCAATTCGTTCGGAAGCTAGAGCTAGAGTGATGGAGGGTATAAAAATACACAGAAAAGCGAAACCCATGTTTTCATTTAATTGGGTTGGAAAATGTGGAAGAAACCTTCAAAATACCGAAAATAGGGAGGTATCGTTTTATGGACGCTTTACCAAATAGTGGGCCTCAATCGGACATTTTTCTAATAACAGAGAACTGACCTAACGAGAACCCCAATTATCAAGTTTCTGCTAATTTGGTTGAAAATTGTGGCAGAAACCTTCAAAATACCGAAAATTTGGAGGTACCCTTATATGGGGGCTATACCAATTTGTTCGCCTCAATCGAACATTATTTGCAAAGAGAGAATAGACCTTTCAAGAACCCAAATTGTCAAGTTTCAGCTAATTTAGCTGAAAATTGTGACAAAAACCTTCCAAATACCGAAAATATGGAGGTACCCTTATATAGGCACTCTTATATGGCTACAGCAATTTGTTGAACTGAATCGAACATTTATTTGCAAGGAGAGAACAGACCTTTCAAGAACCTTTCAGCTAATTTGGCCGAAAATTGTGGCAGAAACCTTCATAATACCGACAATTTGGAGGTACCCTTATATGAGGGCTATACCAATTTGTTGACCTGAATCAAACATTTTTTGCAAAGAGAGAACAGACCTTTCAAGAACCCTTATTGTCAAGTTTCAGCCAATTTGGTTGAAAATTGTGACATAAATAAAATACCGAAAATATGGAGGTACCCTTATATGGGGGCCGTAACGTGGACCAATATAGCCCATTTTCAATACCAATCGGCCTGCATATAATATACACCTTTGTGCCAAATTCCAAAGCTTTATATTATATAATGTGGATTCTATCGTGATTTCAACAGACGGAGAGACGGACATCGATATATCGCCTTATAATTCTGATCAGAAAAATATATAATTTTTGTGGTCTCCGACAAATAATTCGATGTTTTGCAAACGGAATGACAAATTTTATTTATACCCTCCGTTGTAAGGTGGAGGGTATAAAAATTATATTATCCATCTGTGGTAAATGGCTACAGACCTTCATTTTTTTCTTTGAATTTCTCTTTGGATATACCCGCAGAAGAGTTGGCTTTGGAGATTTACTAGGCCAAAACCAAATTAGTTTTTTTCTTTTCGTTTCTACTTAGCACTTATTTCTATGGCAATCAAAATCGCATAACCAAAAATTTAAATAAATTTCAAATCTTCATTCTAGCAAAACGACGATATTAATGATCTAGTTAGCGCTTTGGAATCGTCATATGTGTGACCTATATATGCAAATAAATATATGTCGAGCTTTCCAAGTCTAGCATGTCGGTATGTAAATAAAATACTGAATGGTTGTGTGTGTGTGACGACGATGGTTCATTGATATTAATGTGCGCGTATACTACGATTACAATTTCCGTCCATTAAACGAGAGTGTTGTGAAGTGAAAATTGTGAAAATAAATGACCGAACGACCCAGCGACAGAGCAAAAAAAAAATAGAATCGTGTGTGAATTTTTGATCATCAGCAGTAGACTAAACCTCCGCGGGAAGCAATGCCAGCGATCAACGTCATTACCACCAAATGCAGAACATAGAACATCTGGTCATGACACCATTGGAGGAGAATTTACAAAAATTTATTTATCATTCTGTAACAACATAATCGACTTTGTGTAATCTATGCAGCTATTTTCGACAGCCAAATAAAGAATCAAATCACCAAACAAGTTGTTTTCACAAAAAATTTCGAAACGTTTTCAGAATTTGTTCCCATTCAAGTTTGAAATTGGAAACAAGTTTCAACAAAAAAAATTTGTCTGTGTTATTTTCTGTCTATTCTCTATCTTCGTTTCGATTTGAAGAACGGGCTTTTATTGCCCTGTCGTCTTTGTTCCTATGAGGAACGGCTGTTGCCATATGCCCTCAACGCTAACGTCATCATCTTCAAAATTGGCTTCAACGAAATTTCAACGAAATCAGTCTCTGACTCGACACGAGTGTCGACATTGAAAAGAGAGTTTGAGAAGGAAAAACATGTATTCAGCCGGTAATTAACCCATTAATATTGTTTTATTATACGCAAGCTTTGAATGTAAACCGTATTTAATTTTGGACATTATAACTGTTCTTTGTGAATTAATGGCGATAAAAAATTTGAATATTTTTTTTAATTATATCTTTTAAACACGTTTCTTGTCTCATTAGCTGTCCATTGTTATCATCACCGAATTTTTAAGAATGTTTTGTAGTGATCGTAACACAATTCCCAAAATGAACTCATAAATCTTGAATCTGAAAGTTAAGAATATACCGAATTGAAATTGCCAATTCGGGTCCATACGAATCCAAAAAAAACCTCATAGAGGAGGTTTATTCGGCAAAAAAACTCGAATGTAAACATACTATTAAATGTGTTTTTAGTAAACATAATGTAAAGGAAAACCAGTAAGGAAAGGTCAATAGTCGAGCGGGGCCGACTATATGATACCCTACACTACTATGCGTATTTGGTAGAGCTCACGTAACAAAAAAGTTGAAATAGGGAATTTATGTGAAGTAGATCATACCAACTATGAACCAAATGGCAATATATTAAAAATATTTATTGGAGCAATAGATATCCGGACCGAGATTCTACAAATGGTAAAATTCAGTTGAATATGAAAAATCTATTCAATTTGGGCTGATATTACATATAGGGTGAGCAATAACCGTAGAATCGGATGAAGAATTATATCAAAGTTATTTATAAAAATGTTAACCGATCTCGATAAAATATGGCATAGGTACTTTCGAGCACTATCTGATGCCCGGTATCAAATATCATTGTTGTAGAGTGCATATTACGCATGTGAGGGACTAGAGCATCAAATCGGATGAAACATATATGTGGGAGCTCTAGCTATATCCGAACTGATTTCCACCAAAATTTAAAGCACCTGTTTTTAGGATGAATTCCGTAGGAGGTGCCAAAATTGATCCCCATAAAATTTAACAGAGGTTTTTTTGAGCTCCATAAGTTATCTGGCACCAAATATCTTATGGAGTGTATATTATAAAAATTTTGGCAAAGGTATTTCCGAGCTCCATAAGATATCTAGTACCAAATATCATTCTTGTGGAGTGTATATTACGCATGTGAGGGACTTGAACAGCAAATCGGATGAAACATGTATATAGAAGCTATTGCAATATCCGAACCAATTTTCACCAAATTTGATTTTCTTGTTTCAAAGATGAATTCAGTCGGAATTGTCAAAATTCATGTAGTTTGGACTGATATTAACCATTTGGTGCACAATAAACCTGATATTGGACCAATATATGGAAGCTATATCCAAATCTGAATCGATCTTGTCAAAATTTTTAACACTTATTTCTGAACTGTATCTAATATCAGGTACCAAAGATCGTTGTTGTGGAGTATATCTTACGCATTTGAGGGACTTAAAACCCCAAATCGGAGGACACATATATATAAGAGCTATAGCTATATAAGAACCGATTTTTGAAGTTCTTATTTCTGGGACGAATACAGTCGGAATTGCCGAAATTCAGCCCAATTGGCCTCACATTAAACATTTGGTGCAAAATAAACCTAATATCGGAAAAATATATATATGGGAGCTATATCCAAACCTGTTCCGATCTCGATCAAATTTAACATAGGTATTTTTGAGTTCCATAAGTTAGCTGGTACCAAATATCATCCTTATGGGGTGCATATTACGCATTTGAGGGACCTAAAACCCCAAATCGGATGAAACATATACATGGGAGCTATAGCTATATCTGAACCCATATTTTATATACTTGCTTCTACACTGAATTCCGTCGGATGTTCCAAAATTCTGTTCTTATATTGACCATTTGGTGCACAATTAACCCGAAATCAGTGAAGATATATATGGGAGCTATATCTAATTTTGAACCGATTCTCACCGATTTCAATAGCGCTCGTCCTTGTTTGGAAAATTTCATCTCAATCGGATAATAAATGCGACCTGCATTTTGTTCACAAAAATACATGGACAGACTGATGAACGGACAGACAGGCTGACATGCACAAATCGACTCAGAAAGTGATTCTATGAAGATCCTGGGAAGTATCTATCGGTCTATCTCGCTTCCTTCTCCATGTTACAAACAAATACACAAAGACATAAAGCCCTTACCACTATGTGGTGTAGGGTATAAAAACAGAATATGATCATTTTTTTATATTTATTTATATAGAATTCAAATGAAGTAGTATCCGACGAAAAACAAGTAAATCTGTGGGTCCACTTAACCCATATAGTATGTCGAAACTTTTAAAGCATTTTTTTAGATCCGTAGTCTTTGGTGTTACACCTTCCATCGCACGAAATTTTAATATACCTTTTTTTGTCCAGCCTTTTACGCATATCTGTTAATTTGCACAAATGTTTATCCATCAATGTCTTCTAATTACTTATATACATTATTATTTCCATTAAAATATATTTTTCTTCATTTGTATGCCGGAACGTTCTAACCTTGTGTGCATGCCTTTTATGAACTCATAAATTGGAGAATGTGTGTGTGCGCAATTTTTACTCTCTGTTAAATGTAAAGGAATTATTTTAAATCCCATAAAACACTCAAAAAGCTCACGTAATTAATTGTTTGTCTGATATCTTCAATGGAATGTGGTTGCAAAAATATATTTTTTTTTGATTTCAATCATATTTAGGGAGATATATGGTTATTGTTTTATTTCTTGAAATTTGGTTATTGATTCATCATTTGATTTCGAAAATTTTCAAAAGATCTAAATTGTTTATAAAAATAATCGCTAAAATATCTGAGTGTTTGAAATTTCTAATACACTTAATTGATTGACTGCAGTGGATTATAAAATGAATTTAAGTAATTAAATATTTAAAAAAATATGGCTGATTGATGAGTCGTTATCACAAACACTTAAGCAACATATATGTGGAACCAATAAACATAGTTCTGTTTCATAACTGCACAAATATAAAAGTTGTTACTACCATAACCGAGTTTTCCTTTATGATATCAAAACAATTTTTCAAAACTATTAGATTCTTAGAGGTACTGGAACAGAGCACACAATCTTGACCGTAACTACTGAAGAGAGTATTCGATTAGATATCGATATGGTGTATACATTTATGTATCAGCTACCGGTATGTTATTGACGAGATATTGATTGGCTATATATTAGGTATCGCTGAACTATTGACGAGTCATCGATGTACTATCAATAAATTATTACAACTAGTGGTCATTTACAAGCTACATACGAGTTATCGATTAGCTATTAGCGTGCTATGATCAACCATCAATTAGCAATAGACGAGCTATTTCGATAGGATATCAACGAGCTATCTGAAAAACTTCTATAGCCAGAAGACCTTCTGAAGCCCTTCTATAACTAGAAAACCTTCTGAAGCTCTTCTATAGCTAGAAGATCCTCTGAAGCTCTTCTATAGCTAGAAGATCCTCTGAAGCTCTTCTATAGCTAGAAGATCCTCTGAAGCTCTTCTATAGCTAGAAGATCCTCTGAAGCTCTTCTATAACTAGAAGACCTTCTGAAGCTCTTCTATAACTAGAAGACCTTCTGAAGCTCTTCTATAACTAGAAGACCTTCTGAAGCTCTTCTATAACCAGAAGACCTTCTGAAGCTCTTCCATAGGAAGAAGACTTTCCGAAGCTTCTCTATAAGTGGAAGTCTTTCTGAAGCTCTCCAATGAGATATTGATGTGTGTACAATTATATATAAGCTACCGGTAGTGTTTGGCGAACTATTGATTGGTGATGGATTAGATATCGACGAACTGTAGGCGAGTTATCGATGTACTATCAATAAGTTATCGATCCATTTAGTTCCTTGATTTAATTACAGATGTGCCAAGATGAGCGTTCTATAGATGATCTTCTAAAACTCCTCTATATCCAGAATCCTCTATATTTAGATGACATTCTGATGCTGGAATACTTTCTAATGCTCTCCTATAGCTGGAAGACCTTCTGAAGCTCTTCTATAGCTGGAAGACCTTCTGAAGCTCTTCTATAGCTGGAAGACCTTCTGAAGCTCTTCTATAGCTAGAAGACCTTCTGAAGCTCTTCTATAGCTAGAAGACCTTCTGAAGCTCTTCTATAGTCAGAAGACGTTCTACTGCTCTCCTACACATGGAAGACCTCTTAAAGTTCTCCTTTACATAGACTATCTTCTAAAGCACTTTAGAAAAACTATAAAACTCTTCTTTACACAGAAAACCTAAAAAAAGTATCCTGTACGTAGATGAACTTCTAAAGCTCTTGTATATTTAGAAGTCCTATATATATTATATTTCATACAACGAAGACCTTTTTAATATCTTTCATACAGATAATACTTTCAAAAGCTCTTCGATGTATAGAAAATCTTCTAAAACTCTTATGTAGGCAAAAGACCTTCTGAAGCTTTTTTAAACAGAAAGACTACTGACGATTTTTTACAGTAAAACGCCCTCTTCTATAGCCGGAAGATTTTCTAAGGTTTTTTTATATGAAGGAGGTCATTCAAAGCTTTCTTATACATGGAAGGCCTTCTAAAGTTTTCCAATATATTGAATACCTTCTGAAGGCCTTTTATAGCCAAAATTCTTTCTGAAGCTTTTTATACTTAGAAAACCTTCCGAAGCTCTAAAGACCGTAGAAGACCTTCAAAGGTCATCTGTACACAAAAGACATTCGAAAACTCTTCTGATTATAAAGAATATTTTTTTAATGAATTTTTTTTGAGCCCAATAAACTTGGATTTTTAAAGATTATTTTTTGAAGGATCAATAATCGTGGATTTTTAAAGAATATAATTTCAAGGACAATAATCGTGGATTTTTAAAGAATATTTTTTCATGGACAATAATCGTGGATTCTTAAAGAATATTTTTTCAAGGACAATAATCGTGGATTTTTAAAAAATATTTTTTCAAGGACAATAATCGTGGATTTTTAAAAAATATTTTTTCAAGAATAAATAATTGTGGATTCTTAAAGAATATTTTTTCAAGGACAATAATCGTGGATTTTTAAAAAATATTTTTTCAAGAATAAATAATTGTGGATTCTTAAAGAATATTTTTTCAAGGACAATAATCGTGGATTTTTAAAAAATATTTTTTCAAGAATAAATAATTGTGGATTCTTAAAGAATATTTTTTCAAGGACAATAATCGTGGATTTTTAAAAAATATTTTTTCAAGAATAAATAATTGTGGATTCTTAAAGAATATTTTTTCAAGGACAATAATCGTGGATTTTTAAAGAATATTTTTTCAAGAACACCCTCTTCTATAGCCGGAAGATTTTCTAAAGGTCTTTTATATGAAGGAGGTCATTCAAAGCTTTCCTATACATGGAAGGCCTTCTAAAGGTTTCCAATATATAGAATACCTTCTGAAGACCTTTTATAGCCAAAATTCTTTCTGAAGCTTTTTATACTTAGAAAACCTTCCGAAGCTGTAAAGACCATAGAAGACCTTCAAAGGTCATCTATACACAAAAGACATTCGAAAACTCTTCTGATTATAAAGAATATTTTTTTAAAGAATTTTTTAAGACCAATAAACTTGGATTTTTAAAGATTTTTTTTCAAGGATCAATAATCGTGGATTTTTAAAGAATATAATTTCAAGGACAATAATCGTGGATTTGTAAAGAATATTTTTTTCAAGGATCAATAATCGTGGATTTTTAAAAAATATTTTTTCAAGGACAATAATCGTGGATTTTTAAAGAATATTTTTTCAGGGATCAATAATCGTGGATTTTTAAAGAATATTTTTTCAAGATCAATTGAAATTAAATAATCGTAGATTTTTAAAGAATATAAGTTCAAGAACAATTACCGTGGATTTTTAAAGAATATTTTTTTAAGGACCAATAATCGTGGATTTTTATAACTTCTAAAGAATATTTTTCCAGGAGCAATTGACCAATAACTTCTCGCGAATATTTTTCCAGGAGCAATATAATACATCTATCTACATCTAGAATACATCTATATACATCTACATATTCATATCAGATATTTGGTTAAGAGAAATATTTAGATATAGCAAGTTGTAAAGAATCGCCGAATTTTTTTCGCAAGTTATGACAAGTATTGAAAATTGTGAGGTACCAGAAGGGGTTGGCAGATATATAATATCTTCACAACGGTTCTTAGCAAAAATATTTAGATGTGTGAAATTCTAAGAGAGTTGGAGGCTTATTTCGCCTTCTTTCTTCGCTGTTAAGTTCGCGATTTATGAGCTTCATGGATATTCAAATTTCTGACCCTTTGTGGGAGAGGTACCAGAAAGAGTGTACCGATATATTTCATCTTCACACCACTACATCTTGGGTTAATAAAAACATTGTGAATTTGAAGACAATCGGACTCTTACATCATATTTTATAAGAGTTATAATTCTTATAAAAGTGGACCCTTTGTGGGGTAGGTACTTGATGGAGTGGACCGATATTGTCACCTGACATAGCACTGATGCAAATGTTAGGATTTGCAAATTTGGATTATCCTTCCCTTTCTAAGCAGTATTTTTTTTTTTTTTTTTCTTTTGAAATTGTAAAATTTTACCCTTCTCCGAACTCTATTGCCCACCTATGAACCCGATTTAAGTTTGACAATAATATTACGATTTCCACGTTTGGATTAAATCGGATACTCCCTTCGAGAGTTATCGTGCGTCAGACAGACTGACGGACGGATATCGCTAGATCGATTCCAAATGTCCTGAAACGGATTTGGTCCAAAGAGACCTAGGGTCTAAAACCGTTTTTTCGATGAGACACGTTTTGGCCGTATCAAATGATATATACCCTCTCTAGCCGTATGGCTGCGGATAAAAAAAGGTCTAACACGAACTGTTGGAACGAATCTATCACTTTAAGGTAGACTTTTCGCTGACGAGCACTTGACGGGCACTTGGTTGTAGGATCAAAAATAAATCTGGTCTGGTAAATCAAACCACTTTTAATGTTTGATTCGGTTTTCCACCACCTGTTTTTTTTTTTTTTTGGGCTCTGTAAAGCCTCTTTTAATGTTGAAAGCAGTAATAGAGAGAAATGTGTAATTTGGTCTGGGAGAACTACTTTTATGAGAATTATAATGTACACGGATGTAGAGTTGGTGTAGATTAACACAATATTTGCATTCGAAGTATTTCAAAGATTGTAAACAGACTATTCGATTTCAGAATATTAATCCCTACGGGGTTATCGGTAACAACACGAGCGGTTTATTTACCGTAAACACCAAAACAAACAATCCCCATAAGCTATCACTTATCATCAAGTTCAATATCACCCATATCAACCATTTTCATTATCTAATGTCAATATCATCTAATCAATTAGTGTCAACCCATAGCACGTAAATATCTATAAATAATTGCATATTGTTATAATTTATTTCTATGCGAATGGCTTGTTTGTTTAATTTGTTGTTGTTAAAATGCATGTAGTTGCATTTAATTTTATTGATGTTTGCCCAAGACTTCAACATTTCATATTTTTTTCTTTTCTGTTTTCCCTTCCCTTTGCAGTTCGACAACACGACTACGATTATCCTGAATCGGAAATGGATGATCGTGAAAGTTTATATTTTGACACCATTTCCTTGGCCGATTCCGAGGCAGCTGCGGCGGCAGCAGCACATCGCAAATCATTGTCTCAATCACGTAATACCATTTACTATTCAGCAGCTGACTTAGCTGGTGATGAAACACCAGCTAAACGTTCGAATAGCATTCGCCTTGAAAATGGTCTAAAGGCCCGTGCCTCATGGAATCCCAATTATCGTCACTCCTCGCCACTGGATCATTATTTGCCGACGTCAACAAATGGCACGAATGGAGCAGCGACAACAGCTGCAACGGTGGGGGGTGCTAATGGCGGTGCCGATTACACAGATGCCGTTATAGCTGCACAGGTAATGGCTCTACAGAATGGTCGAACAAGTTACCACAATGCGACAGGTGCCAGTGAGGCAGGCCTGCACACAACGATGACCAACGATATGGAAGTGTCTAGACGTCTGATACAGAATAGTGCACAGAATAGTAGAGATAAGAAATTGCCAATTACATACTCGCAATGGAAATTTAGGGTAAACAAATCTCCAATTTCCCTTGTTTGTCATAATGCCTTAAACAAAAACTACAACAACAACACACTATTGGTTTCTTGCAAAAACAAATTACACTGCCACTCTGTATTTCCGATTTCCAATTCACATCACCACATCCCTACTCTACAAATGAAAATATGCACCAAATTTTTAAATTCCACACCCCTTGCTTATCTATCTCTCTATCCCTCTATCTTCCTCTCTCAATTGGTTTTATTTCATAAATTTGATTGGTTTTTTCACATTCCATCACTTATTGGTTACATACTTTTGGTATTCACTGTTTTCTTTTTTTAACTTTCTCGTTTAAAAATGCCTTGATATTTGTAATAATTTGAATTTTTATTCTATTTTTTATGCTCTTGTGTGTGTGTCTGTGTGTGCGCGCGCCCTTTCTAGTCCAGAATTGTTATTTATTAAAAAATTTCTAACGTACACAAACAAATGTTTAAAGAAAACTGCTTGCGGGAACGGGTAATGGCAATTTTTTTCCAATTTTATTTATTTCAATATATTCAATAATTAATTAAGTTTTGGATTTTATTTTCAATAGTTTTTGGCTTTGATTAGAATACAAAAGTTGTAGTTGATAACACTTTAACCGCTTGACTGCATGAAAAATTTTGTTGATAACGATTGTATTGACCTTCTTAATGTAGTTGCTATTAGGGCTGTTTTAGAATTTCCGATTTAACAGTAAACTTTTTGAAAATTAATTAAAATAGCAATTCTAATATTTCATTTGATAGTAAACATTTAAATAATGCAATATTTTGAAAATATGGCTTCTAAATATTTGAAGTGTAATTTCGATTCCGAATCGCAATATATATTCAAAGTACCTAATTTGTGTTTCACTTTCTTGAATTAAATAGATTTCGATGTTAAATTATGATTGAAATACAAAATGTTGATTCTACGGACAAAAAAATCAGAAAGGATCAATATTCCGATCGATTGCCTAGGGCTATCCAGCCGACTGATTCTGGTGGAAATCTATATTTTCATTCAGATATGCAACCAGTAAGGAAAGGTCAAAGTCACAAAAAAATCTGAAGTGTGGGAGCTATATTCAAAACTGAACCGATTTTAATAAAATTATAAACACCAAATATTATTTTTTGGACTCAAACCCCGAAAATATCTGAACCGATTTTCACCAAATGTGAAGTATATTTTCCTAGGATGAATTCAGTCGGAATTGCCAAAGTTCAGTCCATTTGGGCCGATATTAGCTATTTGGTACACGATAAACCTGATATGGGATAGAGATATATATGGGAGCTATATCCCATATATATCTCTATATAAAATTTGACAGAGGTATCGTTAGAGTACTCCAGCATTTAAATGTGAATAAATCTGTTGTGTCTCATCGCTCGATACCGTGATACTGGTAGCGTAGCCCGGCGTCAAGGAACTGGGCGGAAGAAAACAGCAACATCAGCAGAAATGGTTCGAAAAGTAAAGAAGCGACTTGATCGAAATCCGCGTCTCAGCGGCTGAAAAATGGCTCGTGAGCTGAACATATCGCAAATATTGAAAAATGAACTCGGGGTAAAGTCATTGAAATTCCAAAAAAGTGCAAGAACTTACACCGCAACAGAAAGAAAATAGACTTAAAAGAGCTAAAGAGTTGCTTCGCTTTGCCGAAAGTGGTGAACTGCCGAATTTGGTTTTCTCCAGCGGTTTGTAATCAAATGTTTACTTGCCAAAGATGTCAGCTGAAAATGTGCACATTCGGTTGGCCACCAGAACTCAAGCGCCGGCCATAGTGATGGTGTGGGCTGCCATAACAACCGATAGTCGCTCTCCGCTCATATTAATCGACCGTGGCATCAGAATAAATACCGAATACTATCGCGAAAATATTCTGGAGTGTGTATAAAAGCCTTGGACACGCACAAATTTTGGCCGCAGACCTTGGACATTCCAACAGGACTCAGCACCATCACACTCAGGACGCGCCACCCCAGAATGCTTACAAAATTTGGTTCCTCGCTTCATTTCCAGCTCACAATGGCCACCAAAATCTGCGGATACCAATCCGTTTGACTATTGTGTCTGAAGTATTTTGGAAGGCAAGGTTGGCACTAAAAACTACCAATGTGTCGATCACCTCAAGCAAGCTCTTCGCCGGGAATGGACCAAAATACCGCAGAGCACCATTCGGACAGCGTTTGAACCAATTCGAACAAATCTAAACTTATTCTAAAATTTGATGCTATTTCCGACATTTTTTGCTTTCATTCAATAAAATTTAAAAAACGACTGTAAAAAGTATGGCGTTTGACTTTGTTGCAGTTTTTTATCTCACCCTGTATAAATTCAAAATACCAATTTAGAACAATTTCATTGAAAATGGGACTAAAGTCATTAAAATATCGACTATCGAGAGGTACAGCACAGTATACAGGCGCTATAAAAATCATGGTCCAATCTACGTTATTTTCAAGAACATCCATCCTAGACATAATACAAGCTATTGTGCCATATTTCAAAGCTCTACGTCAGATAATTTGAACTCTATTGTAATTTTAACAAACAGACAGACGGACTCCGTTAAATCGTCTTAGAATTATAGTGTAATATGTATGGGGTCTACAACGAATATTTAGAATTGTCTGAAAATCCACACAAGGAGTTCCCTGTGAGTATTTTATTCCCTGGAAGAGAATTATCTATATATATCGCATAGTCCCCATACAACAGTACCCCCTGATATTCAGTATTTTGATGATTTTAGCCACATTTTTCAATGGAGTTGTCTGAAATTCTATACAAGGAGTTCTTTGTGAGCACTTTACCCCCCGACAGTGAATTCTCTATATAGGTCCACGATATCGTATATCCTCCATGTATCGGCACATTCCGATATTCATTTTTTTAAGATTTTAACAGAATTTTTGATGGATTTTATTTTTTTTTTTTTAATTTCCTAATTCGTTCCAAATGGTGGAGGGTATCACGAATTACAGGAATCTTAATTCGAAAATACATCTGTATTTAACATATTTTACTCTCAAAACGCCGATATATGTGACTGTTGGATTTTTCCTGTAGTTATTGAAAAAAAAAAAAATAATTTTGTCGCACAGTGTCATTTCTTAATTCGCACGGCCTAGTTATAAGATCAAAAGTCACGGTCATCACTGGGAATAACAAAAAGTTCCCTCGTTAAGGTGACATTCGTCTCTTACGAATCACCTTATTCATCAAGGGCAAGTTCAATAATATCAACGCGTATATTCAATATTCTCAAAAAAAGACCAAGCAAATAATTTAGGTCATTTTGTTGAGGAATGTAAATAATAAATGTGTACAACAAAAATAAAACAATAACAAATAATTTTTTAACAATAAACAGCTACATCGTAGCAGGCAAGCCAGTAAAGAGAAATTAGTATTTTTTTGATTGGGTGCTGTGATTTCAAATTTTAGTGTCATATGCAAAGGGGCGATGATTGTACATTTTATTCATGAATGTAAACCGTTGTAGCAATAAAGAGAAATGACAATGATCTACCACGGCGACTAGGAATAAAAAGTGGTATCATCGCACATGTGATGAGAATTTTTTTGGTAATTGTTCAAATTTTTACATTGTGCTTCCCGAATTAAATAAAAAAAAATTTATCCAAAAATTAGAAATACAATTTCTACTTAATTTCACTTTTCAAATTATAACCAGCAAAGAAAGTCTTAAAGTCGAGCGGGGCCGACTTTATGATACCCTACACCACTTTGCTAATTTAGTTGAGCTGCGCATCTCGATCTCGATAAAATTTGGCAAAGATATTTCTGAGCTCTATTTGATATATTTCCCTGAATATCGATGTTACGGAATGCATATTACGGCTGTGGGTAACAAATATGACAAATCGGATGAACAGTATATATGGGAGCTATAGCTATATCTGAACCGATCTTCACTAAATTTGACATACTAGCTTCTAGACTCAATTCGGTCGTAAGTGCCAAATGTCATCCAATTTGGGCAAATATTAGACGTTTGGTGCACAATCCAATGTAAATCGGACGAAGTTATATGTGGGAGCTATATCCAAATCTGAACCGATCTCGATAAAATTTAGCAAATGTATTTCTGAGCTGTATTTGATAAATTTCACCAAATATTGTTGTTACAGAGTGCATATTACGGCTGCGGAGGACAAAAATAACAAATCGGATGAACAATATATATGGGAGCTATAGCTATATCTGAACCGATTTCGATGAAATTTGGCATACTTATTTTGAGGTCTAATCTGATCGTACATGCGAAATTCCATACTATTCGGACTGATATTACACGTTTGGTGCACAATAAAAGGCAAATCGGACGAAGATATATATGGGAGCTATATCTACATTTTGACCGATTATCTCCAATTTCAATAGGGTTCGTCCTTGGGCCAAACAAATGATTTGTGCAAAATTCCATACTATTCGGACTGATATTACACGTTTGGTGCACAATAAAAGGCAAATCGGACGAAGATATATATGGGAGCTATATCTAAATTTTGAAAGATTATCTCCAATTTCAATAGGGTTCGTCCTTGGGCCGAACAAATGATCTGTGAAAAATTTCATCTGGATCGGGCAATAAATGCGACTTGTACTTTGTTTACAAAAATAAATGGACAGACGGACGGACGGACAGACGGTCGGACGGACAGACGGACAGAATGTGTTTCTATGCAGATCATCAAAAGGAACTATGGGTCTATCTCGTTTCCTTTTGCCTGTTACAAACAAATGCACAAAGACATAATACCCTGACCACCTTGTGGTGTAGGGTATAAATAGATCATAAATGTAACAAAATGAAAAAAGTATAATCCATAGTGAAAATCATGATAGAATCATTAGAACATTTAGAAACAAGTAAGCACAAGCTATAGTCGGGCGGACCCGACCATTTGATATCCTACAACACTAGAATTACTTCTTGAACTAGAATTACTTTAAGAAGCACACTTATATCTACTACATCCTAAAAGCAAATGTTGAACCTAATTGCTCCTCTTTTCAAATAATCATCATAGATCGTGAACCAATATCATTCGAAAACATACGATCTCTATAAAAACATTTGAGGAAGCAACATAATTTGCTCATTCGGAAGGAACAGAAATTTCACATTCAAACTTTTTTTATAGTACGGAGGGTATATTAAGTTTGTCATTCCGTTTGTAACACCTCGATATACACATTTTAGATCCCACAAAGTATATATATTCTTGATCAGCATAAAATTCCATGTCGATTTAGCGATGTCCGTCCGTCTGTGGAAACCACTCTAGCTTCCGAACGAATTGAAGTAAATTGATAAAATTTTGCTCAAATGTATGTTATGTCTGCAGGACTGTTGGTATGCAGGTCCACGTCTTCGTATAGCCCCCATATAACGGTACCCCCCGATTTCGATATTTTTATGATTTTAGCGACATTATTTACTGGAATTGTTTCAAACTTCCTATTTGAAGTTCGTAATGGATATTATAGCTATGACAGAAAATTGTCTGTGCAGATCCATGTTTTATAACCACCATGGTACCTACCTACCTATATTGTAATAGCTAGTGACAAAAGTTGCCTATGCCAGTCCACGTCATCGTATAGACTCTATTATACGACTACATTAGGTATTTTCAAGATTTTAACAGAATTTTTAACGGATTTTATTTTTTTTGAAAATTGTTAAATTTGTACCAATTGGTGGAGGGTATTCAAAGTTCGGTCCGACCGAACTTACAGCATTTTTACTTGTTGTATTTAAAATATCGAACTTTTGTGGGGGAGGTACCAAAGGAAAGGAGACTTTTAATTTAAACATGTTTCTCGTAATTTGGTATGTGAAAACTAATAGGGTACTAGTTTTCACATACCAAATTGTGAGAAACCTCTTTATATTAAAAGTCTCCTTTCACAAGAGACCACGAAAAACACTCTTCAAACAAATGAGTCAATTGATGTTCCTCCAACATGCAAATACGTTCCACATTCCACAACAAAAAGGCCGGCGGCGGTGTCAACTACAAAATATTTACCCAGTTTCTGTTGTTGAGTCTTGGTGCTCGACGTCTCATCTGTTCTTCATAGAAGTGTAGAAAACAGTTGATTCAGTGTTCTTGTCGGCGATTCGACAGAACAGCGTGAAAAGAATTTAAAAAATATCAAATTTATCTGCTTTGTTTTTTCTTTAACAAAACAAAGGCGGTTCAAAAATGTTTCAACAAAAATAAAAAAGAAAATACAGAAAATATTAGCTTTCATGACTCAGGGCAGTAAATCTTCCGGTTATATAGTGTTTTCCTAATGTTTTGTTTTGTTTTTATAAATAAATAGTATATAAGTTCTAAAATTAAGTATTATTTTTGGACTATGGGAAATTGTATGCAATTATTTTCCGATCTCGATACGGTGGTTGGTGATGCAAAAGTAAGATGAGTTGTGTTTGAAAACAGCTAAACTATTAAGTTGAATACAGTCGAACAATGGTATAGTGAATTAGTTGCTAAGCAAGCGCAGAAAAAAAAATGTCGACCTGTCATGTTTAGCCAAATTTATGCTTATATAACTATATTTCATATTGGGATGCTTCCACATCACGTAGTGTTTTGTTATGACAAGTTCTATTTAGTTATGGTTGACTGTATTTAACAATGATTTATTGCTTTTTTTGGTATTCTTTTATGTACATTAGGATGACAATCGCCCATATATACTCGTACATCTGATTGAATAAGTTAATATTTTGTATATTTTATTTATATATAGACCAAACAATACAAAAAATAAAAGCAATATGTAAATTTATAAATAGTTGTATAGAAAATCTAGCTTTCAAAATGTATAAAATATATGTATCCCGATAATAACAAATGTGTTTTTATTTCTCTCCCTTTAGACACGACGACGCTTCCAGGATGGTGTGCGTGGTGTTGACTATGTTTTGGCCTACAATGGCGCTGATCACAAATTGGACAATATCAAGAAACGTGAAACATTCGAGGCGAATTTGGAAAAGGAAGGTCTCCATCTGGAACGTGACAATACCCAACGGATACATTTCATTAAGATTCATGCACCGAGGGAGGTGTTGTATCGATATGCTGAAATACTGAAAATTAAGCTGCCAATGAAAAAGGTATTTGAAACAATATTAGTTTGGTGTATGTATGTATGTTATTCACTCCACCATAAGATGATGTAGTCTCTATACCCTCTGCGATATGGCTAAACGGCCAAAATGTGCCCAATGGAAATAACGGTTTTAGACTCTAGGTCTCTTTGGACTAAATCCGTTTCAGGACATTTGGCTTCAATCTGGCGATGTCGCATAACTCTCGAAGGGAGTATCAGATTTGATCCAATCTTGGTACATCGCAATATTATTATTATAATTAGACCGAGTTTGAAGATGGGCAATATCAGTCAAGAATTGAACCGGGTATCTCCCACACAAAATGTCGAAATTTTCAAAGAAAATAATTTAATGCACAGAAAGAGAATGAGTGCTAGATCATCCATCAAGTACATCTCCCACAAAGGGTGAACATCTATATATATAAAAGGAAGTTGTGTTAGTTACTACGCTTATAACTTAAGAACCGCTGGACAGATTTTAACGATTCAAACAAAATCGGAATTGTCTCTTTTCCGAAAAGGATAATATCCAAAAAAATCGCGTAAAAATGTGATATATTAACATTTTCATTTTGAATTTTGAATTGTACAATAGTAATGTTTTATTTTGCATGATTTTTTTCCATTTTGACTTTCTTTTTTCTAATGTACATTTTTTTATATTTTATTTTTGGATTCGAATATTAATACCAATTTATTTAATTGACTTGATTTCTTAAGAACTGAAATTAATGGCGGGTTACATGGAAGTGTAGTACCGAATTATGCGGTGGCGAAACGGAATAGAGGATATCGAAATAATTAAACGCGGTCACACCAAAGTTAAAAGATAATTACTTTTTCAAAATCGCCAAAAACTCACGAAAAAGAGATCTCATTGCACAAATTCTGAAATCGGGAAAAAAATCGAAAAAAAAAATTTTTTTCAATGGAATCGATTTTTAAAATAATAGTACATTCTATTGACAAACTTTGTAAGGACCTTTAAACATTTGCTGTAAAAAATCGGCAAACAAGTTGAATATTTTTACAATTTGTTATTCTTTTTTTGTCAATTTTTTTTTTCAATTTGCATTATCATATTGAATTCAATTGATTTTTTGTGAACAAAATGAAGAATAATTTTTCACTATACATTTCCTACAGTCTGGAAGATTGGAAAGATTCTGCCAATCAAAAAGAAACAAAATTCATCAGATATCAACAATTTAAGGCCTATTTCGTTGCTATCTAATGTAGGTAAATTATTTGAAAAAATTATACGTGAAAAAATGAATGAGGGTTTACGATCCGAGTATATTCCAAATTATCAATTTGGCTTCAAAAGAGAGCATTCGACTGTAGATGCTTTGACTAAATTTAGCAGTGATATAATTTCTAATTTACGTGAAAGGAAATGTACTGTCGCAGTTTCTTTGGATGTTGAAAAAGCATTTGATAGAACATATCATAATGGTATATTATTTAAAATGACAGAATTAGGATTTGCAGCTAATGTGGTGAAGTTATTTCAAAGTTTTTTTACCAATAGAAAATTTTATATACAATTGGGAAATTTGAAATCATGTGTGGAGAATGTGTCATGCGGTGTTCCTCAGGGATCAATTTTATCTCCCCATCTATTCAATATTTACATGTATGACTTCCCTCATACTATGCAAAATTCTTTGGGTGTATTGTACGCAGACGACTGTCTTTTGTATGCGCACGCTGAATCTCCTGCTGCGGCGTTGTCTATGGTATCTTGTCATTTAAACACAGTTAATGCTTTCTATACTGATTGGGGTATAAAAATCAATACTTCTAAGAGCGAGGCTATGTGTTTGAGGAACGCTTCAGGGAAATGTAAGAGATGGGTTGTACCAGAAAGCAAGTCCTTGAAGTTGTCTCTGAATGGAGTAGAAATACCATTTAGAGATAGATTTAAATATTTAGGTGTTTGGTACAATAAATTATTCAAATTTAATGCAAATGCGCGAGGCTACTTAGGTAAGGCATATGGTATTAAGGGGTCATTTGCAAGACTTCTTAATAGCAAGTCATTACCGACGAAAACCAAGATAATGCTCTACAAAACAAGCATTAGGCCTGTACTGGTGTACGCACTACCTATATGGTTCCCAATCTCTCCAACGGTAATGAAAGAGTTTGAGATATTCGAAAGAAAAATACTTCGTCTCTGTGGAAAAATTTTAAGTACCATAATAAGCGTTTCTTAAATCGGTATATATACGAAGCATCGAAAGTTACCCCAATCTCAGTATATGCTATGCGTTTAATTAAAAACTACGCTAACAGGGCTTTTATGCATTCAAACTTGCTTATTCAGGAATGTGTTAATAAGGAATCTAATTTCACGTGGCAAAATACTAATTACGTCTCACCGTTAGGTATTGACTTATACATGTCTCTGGAAGATATTCAGTGTCCAGAATTTTACATTAGCACCTCTCGTGGAATTCACAGGGGCTAGTTAACAACTTAGATGAACAAACTTTCGTTTGATCATCTCTGTTGTTTAAGTGTAGGTTAGGTTTAGGTTAAGTTAGTTTTAAGGTAAATAAAATGAGACATGCTCTCAAACATTGTAGTGCCGGGAGCAAGCACGATATACACTCTTAGTTTAGTAAACACTAATTATCAATTTTTGTAAAGCCGGACGCTGAAAATACGCTTTAGTCATTAAAACAAAACATTATAGTTTTAAGTATTTCTTTCTTCACTTCAAAATTGTAAATTTTCGTGTTAAAAAAAAGACTCAATAAAAATTTGAATTTGAATTTTCACTATACAATTTTTCACCAAAATAAGTGCGAAATAGAATGTAAACTGACATCTACCTTTCAACTCCAGGGCCTATATCGTGGTTCAGCTGGAAGATGCGAACACATTTAAATAATCAAAAATGACCGAAAAAGCCTAATGGGCCTCATCTCAAAGCGTGAACATGCCTTTTTTATGTGACAATAATCCGTCCAATGAGAGCTCAAAATGCAAAATTCTTTGGGAGTACAATCAGGAAAATACCAAATATAAAAGGTGCAAAATAGTAGAGCGAATGGGACTTTTATTAAGAAAAGGATTTCTATCCTCCCAGAAATTCTTCCCAAACATTCAAGATACCTTAAATCGCTTTTGCAGGTCATGATATAGATCATAACTCACGGATAAGGGTACAACCCGATTTTATATTTATATAACCATCGTATGATTCAAGCTATTTTTGGGGTCTTAGTCCCTTTTTATTTTTGGCCCTTATTAGGCATCTTTGTGTCTAAGGGGGTACAGAACCTCTTCGCATAAAATTTGAAATTTTCAGAGTAGGGCCCATATTGGTCTTGAACACATTCATCAATTGATTTGGCTAAAAAATTTTGTTATGCTACCCTGGGGAAGGGAACCATCATATAGATAATTGCCACATAGGAATTATTTAAGTAAAGTCTCCACATTGGAGTATCCCCAAGTCCACTTTCACACCTGTGGTCAGGAAGGAAAATTTTGTATTCTATTGAATTTGTAACTCCCAAGAGAATATTGGTTGGGAACGTAGATTTGGAATGTACATCTATATGAAATAAATTGTGAAAACATGAACAAATTACAAATATAAGAAAGTAGCACGGGACCGAATATTTGTTGAATCGTCTTTGAATTATACTATGATGAAAAATATGGACTTTATGGGGTCTCCAATTTACAATTTAAATGGAAAATAAAAAAATTCCCATCTTACGGTAATGGGTGTGAAATACCTATAATTTTGAGTTGGCCTCTATTTGCCATATTGGATTATAAGGGGTAGAAGAAAGTTTTCAAAGTAGGTCGATGTTTCGGAGTAGTGCCCATATAAAGGTACCTCCTGATTTTACCATATTTCAAAGGATTTGGCTAAAAATGTGTATTCGGGGGGTGAAAATCTTACACAAAAATGTCAACATATTCACAAATTTTAGAATTTTCTCCATGCAATAGTATACCCTCAAGTCCACCTTTTGGCGGACAAACAGACCGACATGGTTAGGGGGACTTATGAGGACTCTAATGCACAATCTAAGGTGCTAATGGGTTTAAAAAAGTAATTAACTTTGCCTATTCTTAAATCATTCAGCCCTCAATTATGAGGTGTACAAAATACAGTAAATTCCTAATTGCTTCTCATTTGACTGTAAAATTTTGCTACGATTTTTACCATACTAAAAATTAATTTGATCCCTTACATGGGGATAAGATTCATATATACTTTTTAATAGATTTGTATAGCACATCCACACATTTGAAGCACACGGTTTAAATATTGAAGTCCACGGCTTATAAATGGGTACAGATATTTTAAAACACTTTTAATCGACCAGTACGCAAACACTTACATCAGTCATATCTGTGAATAATTATGCTTTTAAAAATATGCATAATAAACAAAAACTACGGGCCGGCAACGCGGACCGGGCCAGCTAGTTTTAAATAATTATAGCTTTAATACCCTGCACCACATAGTGGTAAGGGTATTTTTCTTTGTGTATTTCTTTGTAACATGAAGAAGAATGCGAAATAAACCTATAGTTACTTATATGTCAGCCCGTTCGTGTATTTTTGTGAACCAAATGCAGGTCGCATTAATTATCCGATTGAGATGAAATTTTCTTATTGAAATTTGTGCGAATCGTTCAAACCTAGATATATCCCATATATATTTTCAACCGATTTCGGGTTAATTGTGCACCAAATGGCCAAGATCAGTGCATATGACCTAAATTTCTAGCCTAGAAGCAAGAACTTCATCTCGGTTCAGATATAGCTATGCTCGCATATAAATGCTTGGTTCAGATTGGTTCAGATTTAAATATAGCTCCAATATATCCGATTTCATATTTATTGTGCTCCAAATGACTAATATCAACCGAAATAGACTGAGTTTTGCCACTTCCGACGAAATTCAGCCCAGAAGCTAGTACTTCAAATTTTGGTGAAAATCGGTTCAGTTATATCTATAGCTCCCATGTATATAAATCGCTCATATGCACTCCACAAGAATGATATTTGTTGGTACCATATAACTTACTTATACCTATAGAAAATTTTATGGAGATAGGTTAAGATTTGGATATAGCTCCCATATATATCTTTATCCGATTTCATGTTAGTGTACACCAAATGGCTAATATCAGCCCAAATGGGCTGAATTGTAGCAATTCCGACCGAATTTATCCTAGAAACAAGTGCTTTAAATTCGGTTTATGTTTCCTAAAAACGTTGAATTTCTATAAAATATTTTTAATTTAAATATTTATCATGGAAGCACCCCTGCCGTAGAAGAGGATATGAGGTAACATAAAAGTCGACCTACCCGACCTCTATCCTTTCTTTATCGATTCTTGTATATGCTTATGCTTATTTTTTATACTTTTAGCATATTCTTTGCATAGTGATTTCTTTTATTGCTTATTTTATAATATGATCTCAAAAGGGCCTGCCAAATGATTTGTTTTTTTTTTTGGAAAATGCTATGAACAAACAACTGAATATTTTGTCAAAGCTATATATCCTTAGAGTCGTAAGACTTCATTTAGTCGGTCGGCCACTGAGTACATAAGCTTTTTAGTGTAGTCTGCCGATATTTTTCCCCATTCCGTCAGAAGTATTTCTTTGAGTTGTGTCGTGCTGGAAATTCAGTGATTTCGTATAGGAGTAAATAAATAAAATAAGTGTTATAATTTTGGTGAAGTAGTTTTTGAGGAATAACTAAATGCTGCTCATGACTTATGTATGCTGCTCACTGTATTTTTTTTTGGAATTTTTGTCACTTGAGTTGTCAATATTTGATCAGGTTCTAAAATAAATTTCCTCTCTCTCCTAATTTCATAGAATTTTAAATTGTGATATAGTTCGTATGACCCTAAGAAAATGAAGCATAGCTGTCTCCATACAAATAAATAACTCGTTTACAATACAATTATGTAAAATATTCTACGAAGAGATACCCTTATAAAATAACAATTGCAGCTAACCTAGATATAAAGCTTTTTGTATCCATACATTGTTGGATCACAGCAAAAAAATGCCGCATCACTAGATTATATATCTACGAAAGGCTTTCGTCCTTTAGATTTCTTATGATATTTTTAAAATATACTCACCAAGTTCACTTATCAAAACTGGATTTTTTCAATCCTACACGATTTAATCCATTTTCATGCAGAATTTTATATATATTGATTTTGTATTTTTCAGATTCCAGGCCAGGATCAAATCTACAGAGAGGAATATGAACTTAGCGATAGTGTACGAACGTGTTGTGGCAATCTATTCAAATCAATACAACTGAATCCTGACAAGTTTCCACCTAAACCAAAACGTATTCATTTTGAATTTCAACGGAACTATGAGCATTTGTAAGTATATCTAGAATTTTATGAACATCAAAAAAGATTATTAATAAAAGCTTGTTAATAATAAATGTTCTTGAATGATAAATTTATAACCACAATGAAATAGTAATTCAGTTGTTAAGGCTGTATCCGTCAAAAACTTCCATCACCATATAAGGGCTTTCTTATTATTTTTTGGCAATCGTAACTACTAACAAATCAATATATATCTCCAGCATGTTAAGGTGTAAATCAGGATGTATCGGATTGAGCTCTAAATTCTTTTGATATTTCCAATCGTTATCTCGTTAATTAAATTTTCTAGAGATATATTTATATTCAATGCTACTATTCGAATTTTGAAATTAGAGGGGGATTTATTTAAATATGGGATAAACTCTCGAATTACCCTACAAAGTTAGTGGTTTATATGGTTTTCTTTCAAACGGCCTGAACTTTATTTTTTTTCAATCACCAAAATAATATATTTTATTTCCTCAACAATTCAATTTCAGATTTGATTGTGAGCAACCGAATTTCTTTGATGCCGGCACACGAATTTATATAATCAATTTTATATTGGAACGACAACATTTTATAGAAGGCGAAGAGACTCCAGACAATTTAGGTATAGAAAAACTTTTAGCTGACGGGGTTTACGAATGTGCATATACACTGCATGATGTAAGTATAACCTATTTCAACAATAAACATAAGTTTTACAAAAAACAAATGATTGCAGGATACTGATAGGGATTTACTATTAAGCGAATGGGCCAATTTAAGAAAATGGAAACAGTAAGTTCTAAAAAATACATATAATTATTTAAATACCAAAGATCATGTGGTTTCTATTTCTCTTCTAGTTTACAACCTCTAGATGCAATCAAAGAATATTTTGGTGCCAAGGTTGCCATCTATTTTGCGTGGCTTGGATTTTATACTCACATGTTGATACCGGTTAGCATTTGTGGCATTCTTTTCTTTGTTTATGGTTTTATAACGTGGCACACGGATCCAATCAGGTACGATGACCAAAGCAGACACACCTAAAGTATAAAGGCTAGTGATTTATTTTGTTCTTTTTTTACAGTCAAGAAATATGCAACGCAAACAAAACCACCCTAATGTGTCCACAATGTGATCGTAATTGTGATTATTGGGAACTGAAAAATACCTGTGCAGCCTCGAAAATGAATTATCTGATAGATAATAATATGACAGTGTTATTTGCTTTTATTATGTCGATGTGGGGTAAGTAAGCAAAAGCATATATTGATGATAGAAATATTAAAATATAGATTGTCAGTAGAAGCTTTCTAAGTTCACTTGCAGACTTCTGAAATCTTAGGCCGATAAAAAATACATTTCAAATTTAATTCTAATATTGACATTAAAAAATTATTTAATATTTGCAGCCGTTACCTATTTGGAGCTTTGGAAACGTTACTCCGCCCGTTTGATACATCGATGGGGTCTAACTGGCTATACACATGATGTGGAACATCCTCGTCCTCAATACTTGCAAAAGTTGAGAAAGAATAGAAAACTTGCTCAGAAACTGGATCAGTTGGATCCGGAGAGTGTATTTGAACCGGAGGTGCCTTTTTGGACGACAAAGTTTTTACCCAGTTTTACCAGTTACAGTTTAATGGTATTATCGGTGAGTACTTCATATGAAAACGTTTGAGTTCTATTTATAACTCGTTCACCTCTTTTCAGATATGCATATCACTTATAGCCATATTCTCTATGGTTGTTTATCGTATGGCCCAAAGAGCATCGCACAGTGTCTGGGGCGATGAAAACTCGGCAACATACAAAATTATGGCCATGCCTTTTACAGCTGGTATCATAGATTTGATAGTTATCTCCATCTTAGATTATGCCTATAGTTCGTTGGCTGTTAAACTCACCGATTGGGAATATTGTCGCACCCAAACCGAATACGACGAGAGCTTAACCATTAAACATTACGTATTCCAATTTGTGAATTACTACTCATCGCTTTTCTACATCGCCTTCCTTAAGGGCAAATTTGTTGGCTATCCCATGAAATATAATACCATATTTGGTTTTCGCCAAGAAGAATGCAACCCTGGTGGTTGCCTAATGGAGCTATGTATCCAATTGATAATCATAATGGTTGGTAAACAGGCTGTGAATGCAATCTTTGAAATGCTGGTGCCATATTTAATGAAGAAATTTCGGAAACTCTCAACGCATGTGGGTTTGCGTCGCCGCAAGAATGAGGAGAAATTGGTCTCGTGCAATCAATGGACGGAGGACTATCATTTGGAACCGTGGACGAATACATCGATGTTTGGAGAATATTTGGAAATGGGTAAGTTTATGCGAGGAGGGAGTTCTTGTGCGGAAGACATGTGTTGTAGGAAAGACTTCTGTATACAGAAAGCGGAGTTTTCGATTATTTTCAGTGTAAACGCTCTCGGTCCAAAACCAAAAGTAAGATTTTTGCACGACTGTATGGCATTATTTCAAAAATGAAATCTACAAAAACGGAAAAGGAAACTTCCAACATATTGTATTGTTGGCGTTGGGTTCCAAAGTTTTAGTGAAACTGTACCGACAGTTTCTACGTACGCCTTCTCATCAGTGTACTTCGCAATATCCTTTTCTGCAAGTCGAAAGCATACGACATTTTCTTCGTCTTAGGTTACTGACTCCCCCTGACTCCTCATCAGTGTTTTTGACGGATCCCCACTGACATATCGACTACAGTAATTTACCGTCTGGCAATAATCTTTTTTATCCCTTGTATCCCGGATTTCCGACTACATTTTATCGACGAAAATTATATTCTATCCAGCTTCTCTCTCGAGCTCCTCCCTTTGCGACGATTGACAATGGAGGGTATATCAACTTTGCCATTCCATTTGTAACTCCTAGAGAAAGTTATCTGAATTTCTGAGTCGATTAAGCGATGTCCATTTGTCTATGTGTCGTAATCACGCTATCTTTCGAATTATTGCATGCTAGTGCATTTTGTCAGTAGGCAGGATAAGTTCGTAAATGTTTCATGTGGGTATATGTTATTGCATACCCCAATATTACGGTACCTCCTGATATTCGGTATATAGACGAATTGGATTTGGATTGTTTAAAATTCGGTATGTTATATTTCGATCTTCCATATGTTATCTTCAACGAAGCTCCCTTATAATACAGTTGGTATCCTTGCTGTAAATCTATAATAGTGATAAGCACGTGGTCGCAAAACATCTCAGCGTTAGGCGGTCCACCACAGAGTCTTCACTACTTAAGGGGTGCTGAAGCATCGCCTCGTCAGTCTAAGGATGATTGGAACTTGGGTATTTAAGCCGAGACTCTACCTCCAAATAGCTGACTTCGTTATATTTTGCCTGTTTTAATTCCATTATATTGAGAACTATATTGTAAAGTTTTTTTTTTTTGTATATTCCTTTCAGTCATCCAATACGGTTTTATTACACTCTTCGGTTTGGCCTTCCCACTGGCACCTCTGCTGGCCCTTATCAACAATGTCATAGAGGTGCGATTAGATGCTGTAAAAATGTTAAAATTTATACGTAGACCCGTGGCCCAGCGTGCTCGTGACATTGGTGTGTGGTTCAGCATTATGACAGTGGTGACAAAAATTGCAGTAGCTTCATGTGCCATGATTATAGCCTTCTCAACGAATCTGATACCCAAACTGGTGTATCAACATGAAACGCATGATTATAGCTTACAGGGCTATTTGAATTTCACCCTGGCATATTTCGATACCAAAGATTACAGGACACAGCCGATATTGGGTGAATCGAAATATGGCAATGTCAGTGAATGTCGTTATTCCGAATTTCGTAATCCGCCATGGCATGAGCATCCGTATAAGAGACCAATGTATTATTGGAAGATATTGATAATACGCCTGGCCTTCATTGTGGTATTTCAGGTGAGCTATTTATTAGTTTTTTTGCTTTTTGGGTATTTGTAATGAAGTTTCTAACTTTTTTGCAGAATGTAATTGGTGTCTTGCAGACCATAATTGCCTGGGCAATTCCCGATGTGTCGGGCAAGTTATTGCGTCGCATCAAACGTGAAAACTTTTTGTTACGCGAACACATCATTGAATATGAAAAACGTCAGGCGCAAAAAGATGCTGCCAAGAAATTAGCAGAAAAAGTCCATGGCCTTGCCTCAAATGTTATCAAGGGCATTACAAACCATAACAACAATAATAGTGCATTGAACAATGGTGGCGGTACTTTTTCGGATCCCATTGAAGAGGAAGACGATGATGTAGTCCAGCTACGCAAACGCAACATAATACAAGATGATACAACGCAACTGTAGTTATTAGCTTATCTGCTAGTATTAGATACTAAGATAGCATTAGCGATTGCAAAATTTGCCAAATTAGTAAGCAATCGAATGCCAGTTGTAAGCGTTTTGTTTACTCTAGACTATGGTAGCTATTTGTTTTTGTATTTATTTGAGACGGTCAATCAAATGGCTCCTTCAGTCTTTCTTAGCTTTGTATGACAAAAATTTCTTTGAAACAATGGAAGTGAATCTGGGTGACTTGAGTATATGATTTTCTCCAATCAGCAAATTTTTTTTTTTTTTTGGTTTTTTTTTTCTTTTTAACTTAGTAACAACAAGTAAGCAAAGGCTACAGTCGAGCAGGGCCGACTGTTGAATACCCTACAACACTACAATAAACGATACAGTTTATATAGGCGAGATACTCGAAAGAATTCCACAAGATATTGTGACAAATAATAAAAGAACCCATCAGGTTTCGTTCTCTATTTTTCGAATAATAGCAACTTAAACTAATTTGCTCATTTCCAATTTATTGGTAGATGTTGCACTTAAATGGTCTTCCTAGAGCTGGAACCAATTTTTCCCAAAGACCTATAATCTCTCAGAAGTTTTTGACTGAAACGCATCTATATGAGATATAGGCATTTGAAATCAGAGTTAACGAAATAGTCAGAAGTGCGTCTTTCCTGTATTTGTGAATTCTCCAAAGAATCACTGGAATGGACATTTTCTAATCTTGTCTACAAAAGTTTGCAAACTATTTCTCAAATTGAATATTTTTGGATGGCCATATAAAACTGCTTGGCTTTTGCAATGTCCCGTAACCCCCATTCAAATGTGCGTGAGGATCGGGCGATAATTACGACCTGCTGACAATTTTACAGTTTTTTGGTCCATTTCAACCCCTAAATATATGGCGATCAAACTCAAAAAGTGTATGCTTTTATTCTGACCCTCATCTTATCCCCATGCAAAATTTCGTAAGAATCGGGCCATAAATGCGATCTGTATATGATATCCTGATATCCTAACTACTTAGTTTTGTTAGCTGTAGAAATATTACTAAATGTTTAATTCAAAATGAAAATATGCCAAAAATATGACAAAATTGAAAAACTATGAGAAAATTTTACAAAATCAATATTTTCATCTTTAGAGAGATATTTTTATGCGATTTTTTAGACGTTCTTTCTTTCCTGCCAAGAGGCCATTCTGAATTAATGAGAACTATCGAAATCAGTTCAGCCGTTCTCGACATATTAGAGATCTTTCAAGCATATCTTCTTTGATAGACATATATATCGCACATATTTTGCTATATATCTGATTTCTTGGATGTTAACATCAATGTAAAGATCAGAAGTAACCTTGTCATGGCTTTGTGATTTCGCCGGGATTTAAAATATTCGCGGTTTAATGAAAAATTTAGAATTTTTTCAACACAAAAGATATGGTCTATTTTACCCGCTAAATATTATCCGATGACCACCCAAATTGGTAGGCTTCTTCCCCGCCTTAAACTCTAGCTACATGCGAAATTCCGCGTCGATTGGTCTATAATTGCGACTAGTAGAGCAACTGCAAAATCAGGAATTTTTTCAGTTTTTGGTCCATTTCTACCCCTAAATGTTATGCGATCATCTCCAAAAGAAATAGGGTTCTATTCTGACCTTAACCCCACCTACATTCTAAATTTCGTAAAGATCGGGCCATAATTGCGACCTGTAGAGTGATTACAAATTAACATGGACAGACGGACGGACGGACATACATAGCTAGATGGAGTCAGCTCGGCGAGATAGGAAGATCCATATATACTTTCCTATATGGGAAACCAATATTTCGAGGTGTTACATAATTTTTGGCCCAATCAAACTTATAATACCCCCCAACACATAGTGTTGTAGGGTATAAAAATTGACTTTGCAAGTTAATTTCGACTCTCTGTGATTCGGATTCAATTTTTCTCACTGCACTTTGATTGGCTTCAATTGTGATTTTCCTAATTGTCACGACGGCACTCCGATTTCAGTCAAAAATAAGGCTTTGCTACTTTTTAATGTCCAAGGCCCACCACTTTCAAAACCCTACGGCCGCACTTTGATTCCGATTAAATTTAACATTTTCTCATCTTTAATTTCAAAGGGCTAAGTCGACATTTTGTTACTCCTACAATTGTAATCTTTTCCACTTTTAATACCAACAACCAGCGGCGGATCTTGGATTCGACTCAAAATTCAAGTTTATTTAATGTTTTACTGTGATCTACGGCGGCTTCCAATTGACTTCCCGCCCTCGGTCCTCTGTTGCTGTGTCGACCCCGTGGTTTGTACAATAAGTGGACATTGTTAACATCTTTATGGTTAATTAAGTATATTGGACCCAACTATACAATTGTAATATTAAATTCTGGTAACTTCAAACATCGATGGAATATTGAGAAATCCTTAAAATATTTTTTTTATATTTAATATTTAATTTAAATTAACAAAGGATTTTTTTTACAAAAACAAAATTTATAATGTAAAATTCATGTGGCAAAAATTAGACATGATATTTGCCCTCACAAGTAGAAAAATTGGAATTTTGAAAAAAAAACTTTGATTTTAATAAAAACGATATACTCCGTTTAATGGGTAACAGTAAGGGCGATAGACGAAAATATACCCTTTGTAATACAAATGAGATCGAAATTATGAGACATTTCATTGTCAGATGCCTACTTTAATGTGAATTCCGTAAAAGACTTTTGAAGGCCCCAATATATGGATGAGACAGAGTTGATTCATATTTGAAATTGTTATTATTTATTATTAGGAATTGTAATTTCAAAAGATAAAATAAAATTCCGATCTAGTCCAAATTCCGCGCAACAGAATGCTGAGGAAAATTCACTATAACTCATTAAGTAAAAGTAGCACATCTAGGTTATCGAAGAAAAAGGAGAAACAAAACTTTCAAACTCAAGTCAACCTGAATCATATATATCAGTTTTTTCGAAAAAAATGTTTCTAATGATATTAAGTTCCCTATAAGATATCTATGACTACTTATGCTAGAAATGTATTTATTTTTTATTGAAAAAAAAATTCTAATAACGCAAAGAAAACTAAAACTATAAAAAAACCTAACACATAAAACCAAAACTAATATTAAACCAATAAAAGGAAAAAAAAAAAAAGAAATATTATGAACCACAAGAAAGTACTTAAAGTACGAGTACTAATCACTGTTAAGTTTTAATATGTATACAAACAAACAAACAACAAAAGTAAGCAGCTGGATAGTCCATAAGACAAACAAAATGTAAAAAAATCGAAATAATTTCTTTTTTATATGAGCACACTACAAATACCTGCATCACAAATTGTTTAATATTTAATTTGCCTTAAATAGAACTGGTTAAATTATTAACTATAAATACACACAAAACACACCCAACAACACAACACAATATGCCTTAAAATATACACAAATATTATACAGAATATAATCAGTCCATGTTTTTTAACGATACATAAATTAAATTTAGTTTTTTTATATATTGAAATTTGTACAAAATATTTATAATAATACATATTACAAAAAAGGACTCTATGAAGAAAAAAAAAAAACAATAGGAAACAACTCTCAATTCAAAACAGTTGACACAGAAAACGTCAAATTATGAAAATATTGTTAAAAATATCAATAAAAAATTGTAAATATATTTTTTCTTTTAATTTATTTGAACGTTTTTATTTTATCTTATTTATTGCTTTTAATATTTTTACGATTTCATAAATTGTTTCCAAAGATTATGGCGTCAATAAGGTAATACTTCAACTACTTAGGTAGACAGTTGAAGAACTTGGCGTCCTTCAGTAAAGCTTCCCTACCCGAACCCCTATATGGTTTTAACCGAATGGTAAAATAAGGTGCCATCCTCAATTAATAAGAGACTTCCATAAATTCTATTTGCGGTATTTGCGCGAGTAGCCTACTTTCTTTAATTTTGAAATAGGACCAGTGTTGCCACCCCATGTGCAATTTCACATATCGTGTATAATTTTTCGATGAATGTGTGGCCAATGCGCAATGTGTAGCTTATTGTTTAACTATTTATATCACTTTCTTTTCATCCATCTACTCATAAATGTTTCTGCAGAAAGAATACTTAGCTGATGAATGTTGTGGAAATTGCAAAACAGATTAAAGAAACACAATGTCTTCAAAACGTTTCTGCGATTTTATTTATAAAAGAAGGTATATGCAGAAATGGAGGCCCACACTTCAGACCGGCACAAGAAATGTTAAATTAAAAGTGGAAGTATTAATCGTAGTTAAAACCAGTAAGGAAAGCTCAAAAGTCGAGCGGGGCCGACTATATGATACCCTACACCACTATGCATATTTAGTAGAGCTCTCGTAAAAAGGTTTATACAGGGCATTTCAGAGCTCTATGAGATATTTGGTACAAAATCAAAATCTATCTAATTCTATCGTGCATTTTACGAACTATAGCTATCTCTGAACCGGGTTTCTCCAAATTTTACGTATTATCTTCTAGACTGGTGATTTGGGCTGATATTGACAATTTAGTGCACATTTAACCCGAAATCGGATGAAGATATATATGAGAGCTATATCCAAATCTGAACCGATTTCGATAAAATTTAAAACAGCTATTCCTGTGCTCCATCTAATACCTGGTACCAAATATCACGGTTGTGGAGTGAATATTACGAATGTATGGGACTAAAACTCTAAATCGGATGAAACATATATATGGTTGCTATATCTATATCTGAACCGATTTTCACTAAATTTGATATACTTGCTTCTAGGCTGAATTTGGTCCGATGTACTAAAATTCAGTCCATTTGGACTTATATCGGCCATTTGGTGCACAATTAACCCGAAATCGGATGAAGATATATATGGGAGCTATATCCAAATCTGAACCGATTTCGATAAAATTACAAACAGCTATTTCTGGGCTGTATCTTATATCTGGTACCAAATATCATTCTTGTGGAGTGCATATTACGAATGTGAGAGGCTTAAACACCAAATCGGATGAAAGATATATGGGAGCTATAGCTATATCTGAATTTGATATACTTGCTTCTAGGCCGAACTCGGTTGGGTGTGCCAAAATTCAGGTAATTTGGACTGATAGTGGCCATTTGGTGCACATTTAACCCGAAATCGGATGAAGATATATATGGGAGCTATATCTAAATTTGATCCGATTCTCACCAATTTCAATAGGGTTCGTCCTTGGGCCAAAAAAATATTGTTTGGAAAATTT